AATGGATGGATGGATGGATGGTTGGACCACATTGTTCAATCCTGTTTCTCTGTCTTACCCACAAAACCCAATCCTCCTAGAAGGCAGGCACTATGTTCTGTTCACTGCTCTATCCATGAGGGTCAGATAGGGCTGGGCACATACAGGTTGAGTGGATGAATGACCAACCTCTTTGGTTAGCAGATAAGGACACGAAAGCCAGGAGAAAGAAAGGGACTTGGCTGCGGGGACATAGCAAGGCACTAGCAGCCACCTCTAACCTCCGCCTGCTGTGGCTGACTGTGGCTCCTCTGGGAACACGCATGCTCTCTGGCCAGATCAGGTGGGAGGGCGGACCAAGCCCTAACCCTGGACAGCCCCGGGAAGCTGCTGGGTATGTATCTGACTTTTAAACTAACCTCTTAGTATCACTTCGGGCTCAGGACCCAGAGTCGGAAGCCCAACTGCCCAAGCCTGAGTGCAGGGTTTGCCACTTCCTTCCTGAGCTTTTGTTTTGTCTTCTGTAAAAACAGGAATTCCCGGGCGCCTGGGTGGCTCAGTGGGTTGAGTGTCCGACTTCGGCTCAGGTCATGGTCTCGCAGTTTGTGAGTTCGAGCCCCACGTCAGGCTCTGTGCTGACAGCTCAGAGCCTGGAGCCTGTTTCAGATTCTGTCTCCCTCTCTCTCTCTGCCCCTCCCCCACTCATGCTCTGTCTCTCTCTGTCTCAAAAATAAAATAAACAGTAAAAAAAAAAAACCAACAACAGGAATTCCCATAACAGCACCTGCAGTAGAGTGGCCGGGAGGCTTAAATGACCTAAGGCATCGAATGTGTTTCAAATGGGGCTCAGTGAGAGTGAGTGCTCAAGAATCCTGCACTGCCATCAACAGTTAAACGCTGAGCTGGGAGGAGAAAATGTTCAGCCCCTTTCAAGCTCCCCTAGGTGGATCCCAGCTCATTGGTGCCTGCCCGGATGTGGTTTCGGGTTATAATCCCTCATTTAGGTTTCTGGGCACCTGGACGGGCGGCGTGATTTTCCCAGGTGACATTGAGCACATTATCTGGAGAACAAAACGCTTTTCAAGGTCAGGAACGCCCGGAGAGGCAAAATCGTGGGCCTCAGGCAGTTCTGGGCTCCCCAGCTTCCTGGCTGGAATTACACGCCTCAGGACCCTGCCAGACCCACAGGAGAGGCTGGTTTTGGTGCAGGGATAGAAAAATCCACTCTCCCTCACTCACGGGGCTGCATCTCACTTGCTGGCTGGCAGCCACAAGGTCTTTCTAATCCTAGGAATAAAAAGTCTATGCATTGTAACCCTGACCTACCTGCCCTGGCTTCTCTCTCCTCCCTCAAAGGCCACATACATGATTCTATCCACTTAAACTTTCACAATACCCCCTACCCCCTTATCCAGAGAGGTGGGATGGCCTCCCCAAGGTCATGATGTTGGGAAGGAGAAGACGGTCTGTCCGCTTCTTTCTATGACATCACCCAGCTCAGTGATTGAACCCAATGCTCCCTACCCCCTGGGATGTCCATTCTGCTTGTATCTATGGGGACACTGAGGCCCAGAGCCATGGAGTGACCTGCCCCAGCTCATACAGCTGGGAAGTGATAGAGAGACTGGCCAGCCTCCAAGCCCAGGATTCCTGCCACATTTAAAGTGCTGGTCGGGCTTCGAGCCCAAAGTGAGACCCAAGGTTGAAAAGCACCCAGCCCCAGGAAGTCTGTGTAGGTGCCCTTGAGCTGGCTCAACCCTGCTGGGCCTCACTTCCGGTCATCAATAGGGTTGGCTATTAGCAAACCACCTTCCCTGCTCGTCATCCAGCCGCCTCTCTTATTATTTAAATAAAACTGGACTTCAGTTTTTCATGAAAATACATGTTAGTTCCCAGCAGACAACCAGGATCACAGCAAAACACTGAATAAAATCACCAGTACAAAGGAAACCCCAACCACACTCCCGAATTCTCACTCGACTTTGTTGCCTGTTCAAGGCTCCCCATCATTTTTTTAATAATTCTTTTTAAAAGTTAGGACACTTGGGTGGCTCGGTTGATTGTCTGACATCGGCTCAGGTCATGATCCCACAGTTTGTGGGTTCGAGCCCCACATCAGGCTCTTTACTGTTAGCTCGGAGCCTGCGTGGGATTCTCTCTCTTGCTCTCTCTCTGCCCCCTCTCTGGTTCATTCTCACTTGCTCTTTCTCAAAATAAACACATTAACAAAAAAAAACTGACTTGCTTCAACAGGGACTTTCTTCTTGATGTTTGCAAAAAAACTGAAAACTAAGTAACTTTGGCATTCAAGGATTTAGTGACATATAAGGCCAGGTCCAGGTGCCACCCCAGATATTCTCCAGGGACCATGTGAGGCACCACGGCACCTGGCGTTATTTCTCTGGAAAACTGCAGCGTGGTTATTCTAGGGAGGCCCGTGGACCGCTAGGCTAGGTCGTAAACTCTCTTTCTGCTGATGAGTGTGCTGGAGGAGATGGAGGGAAGGGGGTCTTGCCCAACCCTCCCAGGAGGGGTAGAGAGACCACCAAGCAGGTAGCAGTGGGTGTTTGCTGGTCAGTGGGTGACTCAGGGTCTCAGCTTCCCTTCGGAGCGGTTTGTGCCCCGCCAACCTCACTGCCCCTGTCCTCTGGGGTAATTTTCAGTTCTCCCTCCACTGCTGGCACCCGTCCCTTCCTTCCTTGTCTCTCCCACCCATCTGCTCCCCTTCCTCTCCGAGAGCAAGCCAAAGGGACAGACACTGGGGGACAGGAGTTGTAGGGATGCTCTGAGTGGAGCTTGTCAGTCTGGGAGCTGGAGTCTTGGCTTAGATTCCAGGTTCCCCCTGATTTTCCAGGGGAATCTGTGTCTCCATTTGGTTTTTATCTGTTTGAAGTATCTTCTAATCCTAATTATGAGCAACAAGACAACTGTGAATAATGCTGATACTACTGCAAACAGTCACCGTTGACACCGCAGGTAACACCACCACCCCCATCATCGTCACCCTCCCGATCACGTCATCACCATCACCACCACCACCATCATCGTCATCATCCTCATCTCCAGCATCATCACCGCCCTCATTTCCACCACCATCATCACCATCATCTCCATCATCATCACCACCATCATCTCCACCATCATCATCACCACCATCATCTCCATCATCATCACCACCATCATCTCCACCATCATCATCACCACCATCATCTCCATCATCATCACCACCATCATCTCCACCATCATCATCACCACCATCATCTCCATCATCATCACCACCATCATCTCCACCATCATCATCACCATCATCATCATTATTATCATCATCACCAATATCACCATCACCACTGCCATCATCCCCATCATCATCACCTCCATCATCTCCATCATCTTAAAAAAGAGGAGGTCATAGCACCCACCCTCCTCTGTTGCTGTTTAGCCCAGCAAATGCCTGGGCTACAAGTGGGCTCTCCTCCAGATGTAGGGCTGGGGAGGCACTAAGCGTATGAGTCATGTGATGCATATTAATTGCCTGGCACATGACGCCGTGTGGACAGCAGTGGCTGTTATTATTAGACTCAATTCACTCACCCAAACTGACTACCTGTCTGTTACCCTCCCTGAGCCTCTACTTTCCCATCTGTAAAGTGGGAGGAGACTAGATTAAAAGTCTACTGTTTGGGCATGCGGGCCTCTGGGCGCCTTCCGGCCCAGAAGGAGAGACTGTAGCAAGGAGTTGGGATTTCTCACTCGGAGGAAACAGAGACATACCATCTGAGACACGAGTGTGTCCCACTAAATTCTCATGTCAGCCCGTGCACACGGATGTTCGCGGCACAGCTGCCTGTGGCGGAGGGCTGGAGTGGATGAAATGCAGAAGGAATTCCACACGGCAGGTGGAGGCAATGGTGTGGTGGATTCGGTCAGGGTCAGCGCCCTACCCCTCAACATCATGGGGCCTCTGCACAGCAGTGGGCTTCCATCTACCTGCGCTGCATTTTATTGCCAGCAGTGTCCGTCCCTGTGGGAGCCTCTTTGGCCGCCCACATGTTGCTGCCACCCACCGCTGGGGCCAGCCCTCAACCAATGGCTGGCGAGAATTGGTTGTGTAAAAACCAGGCCTCCCTCAGCCCTCGGGAAGGATCACTCTGGGGTGCGGTCGGCATCCCCCAGAGCCACCCTGGGGCCAGCCGGCTTCACAACACATTCTTAACTGGCTGCGTTCTCCTGTCATCCCACTTCTTCCTCCACGGGAACTCCTCTCAAGTATACTACTTGGACCCAAACCCTTGTCTCAGGATCTGCGTCTGGGAAACTCAAACCAAGTTAAGTGGAACAGGGATACACACGGTTACATGGATCAGCCCTAAAAACGTTAGGCTTACTGCCCAAAGTAGGAAGCAAAATGTAACATACAAAATAATGTCATTTGCATAAATGAAAAATACACACATACTGAGTGATCCCAATTTTGCAAAACCACCTCCAAACACAAATACACATTAAGTAATTGCAATGGTCTGTGATTAGACGGCGTGAGCTAACGGGCAGGGTAGTTGCTGGAAATATCGTATCTGTGTGTGATCTAGAAAAAGGTACTCACTCTGGGGAGAAGAAGCCCTTCGCGACAGTGCAAGACTTGATGGGTGGAGAGAATGAATGAAAGACCAAATGAATGAATGAGTGAAACACAGGAGGGGCCTTGCCTGGACCAGTGATGATGATGTCCCATGCAGAGTGTGTGTGTTCAAGGTTCTGTTTAAGCACCGCTATTTATTCTACGATTTGGGGTTATTCTACTCCAGAATCTGTTAGGGCAAAGCCCCACCCCCTCCCCAGATATTAACACCTCCCATTGCATCACCGGGTCAAAAGGAGGCTGATGACCTGCCTGGGGTCTGAACAGAGGACCAGGTCCCTGACTTGGGGGGCAGGGGACCTTCACCAGTCCATTTCTCTCCTTTCTGGCCGTCTCCACCACCAACCTTGTCTGTTGCCTGCTAGGTCATCGACACTCCCTGATGGTGGGCAGTGTGTGGGCATCGCTGGGCCTCTCCCTCGCCTGCATCTCAGCCCTCAGCCTCATGTCTCCGGTCTGGTTCCAGACCCCCACCTTCTCCTTTGGCGTCCTCACCTACTGCTCCTGGCCTCGGGGTAACAGCTGCAACCAGAGCTGTGCAACCTTCCAGTCCCTGGACGACATCCCTGACGTTGCCTGGAAGGTGAGACCTGGGCTCATCAGCTCAAAAAAAAAAGGGCCAAGTTCTGGCTCCCACTGCTTATCCCACACTGAGCCTCTGACTCTGTAGGTGTGGGGTAGAGTCTGGTTATCTGCATTTTAGCAAACATCCAGGATGATTCTCAAGGCAGCTCCACATCCATTTAGTGCCTTAGCACAAATTAGGAAAAGGTTCCCCTTCTTTGGGACACTATACTGCCATCTGCTGGAAAAGAACTGTAATCAATATGCAAATCTATGATGATCCCACTGCATCTCCAGGAGTTGTGCAGTGTACAACCCGCGCATACCTACGTGTCCACCCTCTAAGCGCTAAGTTTAAAAACCACAGCTAAGGCTTTGAAAGTCTCAGTTATGGGGGCACCTGGGTGGCTTAGTCGGTTAAGCATCCGACTTTCGCTTAGGTCATGATCTTGCGGTTCTTGGGTTCGTGCCCCGCGTCGGGCTCTGTGCTGACTGCCAGCTCAGAGCCTGGAGCCTGTTTCAGTCTGTGACTCCCTCTCTCTCTGACCCTCCCCTGCTCACGCTGTCTCTCTCTCTCTCTCTCTCTCTCCTAGAAATAAATTAAAAAAAAAAAAAAGAAAAGAAAGTCTCAGTTATGTTGCACGTTACCAAATGGGTCAGGACTCCCCGTCCGGCACCTGTAAGGAACCTATAATTACAACGGTGCCTCTCCTGGCGATCCTGTCATAGAGCAGGTACTTAGTAAAGGTGGAGTATGGTGGTCTTAAATCTGGATTTTAATTCTGGCTTTACCATGTGCCCTGAGGCAAATGACTCACTCCACCTCCTTGGACCTCGGTTTGTTTATATGTAAAATGCGGATGCTAATAGCACAGACCTCTTGGGGTTTTGAGGATTCAGTAGCTGACCAATAAGCAGAGAGATCTGCACCTGCCCCACCTGCCCCAGTCAACACTTTCTCTCCCTCCTCTTTCTTTGTGACAGGTCTCAGCTGCAGTTCTCCTTGGAGGGTGGCTCTTGTTGGCCTTCAACGCTGTTCTCCACCTGTCTCGGGCCCTGGCCCCCAAAGGGCTGTGTCTCAGAAGGGGCAGTGGCCCAATGCCAGCGGTGCAGGCAGCCGCAGGTAAATCCACTGGCGCATCGTAAGCATTCCAGACGTGTTTGTGGAGTGAATGAATCAGTGAATGAATGAACGAAACTATGAGCAGAGTCTGGCCTCCTGCGCTGAATCTCAGAGGTAAATCCTAGGATTACAGGCTTCCTTAGCAAGCCAGAAACGGTGGGGAGGGAATGGCATACTTAACGTCAGCCTCTCCTGCCTTTAGCTAAACTCAGTCGTAATAGTCTGTCCCCCTTTGTTTCTCTCACATCCATCCACTTTTTATCATCTTTGCCAGGACCACCATGCACAGTTGGGCAAGTTGTGCACTGCACAGGGGTGCCCAGCTGAGGGCTGAGAGATGCTGAAATCTAGCCTATGTTCCACTCGCTATGCTGCAAAATTGCAGGGCTGCAGCTCCCCAGAAGGGTTGCTTTTTTCTAATTCATACATGGGCTCTGGATGGTCTAGCCGAGGCCTTCATTGCAACCCTCATCCAATTAATTCTCCACCATCTCTCACCTGGATTAGAGAGATAACCACCTCACATGTCTCTCTGCTGCCACCTTTGACCCCTAGAATCTGTCTGCCATGTTGGCCAAACAGGTCCTATTAAGACTGAAATCAGATCAGGCCACTCAGACCGGCTTATCTACCCTCCAGTGACTTCCCGTTACACTCAGAGTAAAATCCACACTCCTTGTCGTGGCTGATGAGGCACCGCCTGATTAAACCCTCGCTCCCTTGCCAATCTCACCTCTTACCCCTTCAGCCAGGCTCCACATGATCCAACCACATGGCTTGCTTTCTGTTGCTTAGATACACCATGTTTCCTCCCTCTGTCTGGGATTTTCTTTCCTCAGATCTTACATGTCTTGCTCCCCTACTTTGCTCAAGTATCACTGCCTCAGTGGGGTCTTCCATGACCCAAGGTAAAGGAGCCCCCCTCTCCTGAGATTCTCCTACCTCATACTTTGTTCTGTATTTTTTCACAGCACTTACCTTATCTGCCTGCTTGATTATTGTTCATCTCTGTCCATTAGAACATCAGCTACTTGAGGACAAGGACATGTCTGCTTTGACATCACCAGCACCTGGGACAGTGCTTCGCACATAATAGATGTTCACTAAATATTTGTTGACTCAATGGATGGAGCTACAGTCCTTGTCCTAGGCTTGCACAGGGTCTAGTGGGCGTGGGGCACACCAGGTGGTCACAGCTCAATGTATATTTGACACAATAGGGATGAGCACAAGACGCAAGGCAAAACTCCAGGAGGGTGGGGGGTGTTAAGGAAGGCTTCCCGGAGGAGGTATTACTTGAGCTGAGCCTGGAAGTACAAATGGGAGTTGGTCACATATAGAAGGGAATTTCAGGGAACATCAGGGGCAAAAGCATGGAGACAGCAAGGCACATTCACAGAACGGTAAGTAGACCAATGTGGCTGAAGAACAACAAGGGAGGCTGGGGTCATGTGACTCCCCTGCTCTGGAAGTGCCTTGAGGGTGAGGAGGGATCCAGTCCATTTCCTTAATATCATTAGTGCCCACTACAGCACCTGTAATAGTTTTGATGAATGAATGCATGCATAGATAGGTGGTTTGGTGAATGAATAAATGAGTGGGTAGGTGAAATGATTGGTGGATCTATGGATATATCAGTGGATGATGGATGGATGGATGATGAATGGATGGATGGGTGGGTGGGTGGATGAATGGATGGATGGGTGGACGGATGGATGGGGTGGATGGATGGATGCACAGTTGGGTGGGTGGATGCATGGATGGGTGGGATGCAGGTGGCTACGTGGGCACATGGGTAGATGGATGGATGAGTGACTGGATAGAGGGATGGAGAAATGAATGGACAGGTGAGTAGTAGATGAATAGTTGGGTGGAAGGCTAGTTGAGTGATGGGTGGATAAAAGGAAAGATGATGAATCAAGATATAAGCAAATGGACTGGTGGATGAGTGGGTGGCTAGGAGGGTGGAGTCTGGCCCAGAACCCCTTGACTGACACACTGGTGTTCCTTCCTGCTATTTCCAGCCACTGCCACCGTTGTGGGCCTGCTCGTTTTCCCCATCAGCCTGGCCTCTCCATTTGCCAAGGAAGCCTGTGGAGCCTCCTCTGTGTACTACAGTGGCCAGTGTCAGCTGGGCTGGGGCTATGTGACTGCCATCCTCAGCGCAGTCCTGGCTAGCCTCCTGCCTATGATTGGGTGGCCCCGCATGACCCAGGTCCAGGAAAGGACCATCCTCTTCTCCAGTGACACTGAGAAAATCATCCTCATGCCAGAAATGAACAAATAAAAATTTCCCAAGAGGAGAAAAAAAAAATCCCACTTCAGAGGTGTATGAAATCACTACAAATCCACACTCAAATCTCAGCTCTGGTATCTCTGTGCTATGTGACCTTGGGCAAACCACTTCACCTCTCTGGACCCCCATGTGTTCTGTAAAATGGGGGGTGAAATAATGCTTGCCTTATAGGGTTGTTATGAGAATAAACTTGAGATGCTCTGTGTAAATAAAACACTTAACACCATGTTAGGCACATTGTATCCAATAAACTTCAGCTTGTTATTATTATAATCCCTAACCTCACAGGCCTCCTCAGGAGGAGAATTACATTTATTCATGAAGGGTGCCCAGGACAGGGGCACCTGGCTGGCTCAGTCAGTAGAGCATGTGACTCTTGATCTCCGGGGTTGTGAGTTCAAGCCCCACACCAGGCGTAGAGTTTACTTACAGAAAAAAAAATGGGGGGGGGCGGTTCTCAGGACAATTCCTCATCTAAGCTGTCCCTCGAATGCCACATCTTTCAGGGGCTCCTGTCTGGCTCAGTCAGCAGAGCATGTGACTCTTGATCTCAGGGTTGTGAGTTTGAGCCCCACGTTGGGTGTAGAGATTACTTAAACATTAAAAACAAAAACCTTTAAAAATACTGCATCTTGGGGTGCCTGGGTGGTTCAGTCGCTTAAGCATCCGACTTCGGCTCAGGTCATGATCTCAAGGTTCATGGGTTCGAGCCCCGCGTTGGGCTCTGTGCTGACAGCCAGCTCAGAGCCTGGAGCCTGCTTCTGATTCTGTGTCTCCCTTTCTCTCTCTACCCCTCTCCTGCTCACGCTGCCTCTCCCTCTCTCAGAAATAAATAAAACATTAAAAATTTTTAAAAAAATACTGCGTCTTTCACCAGACATGCGTATTCTCCTTATCTCCCCTCCACCTTTATAACTCCTCTTTTCCTGGAGAATTTGAGAATTATTTCTTTCCTATTCAAATATTTAGTAAGTGCTTATATGTACAAGAGTTTGTGCAAGTGTGTCCAGTGTTGGGGTGGGGATTAGGGGTGTGTCTCACCCCTCCCTGCAAATAGTCTCAGGTGTTACTCGGGGCATCTGTGGCCCTTCAGATCCAACTCCAACCTCTCTCATCAGTCAGCTCCCCGTGCCTCTCCCTCTGCCACGCTGAATTCTGGGCCCGTGGAAGGCCATTCACTCCTCCACCCCTTGCACACGACTCTCTGCTGGCGTCGATCTGTTGCTGCTGCCTACCATGACCCACTGCCATTCTTTGGGAGCGGCGCCTTAATCTTTCCTTGAGAGATGACCCCCAGCAACTCGGTATCTCGTGTTTTTTGTTTGTTTTTAAGTTTAATTTTATTTCTTTTAGAGAGTGCGTGAGCAGCGGAGGGGCAGAGAGAGGGAGAGAGAAAATCCCAAGCAGTTTCCACACTCAGCACAGAGCCCAACTCAGGGCTCCATCCCACGAGACAGTGAGATCATGACCTGGGCTGGTATCGAGAGCCAGATGCTCAACCAACTAAGCCACCAGGCACCCATTCCATGTCTTAGGGTGGATAAACGATCCCTTCTAGCCAATAAAGCCTGGTCAAAGAAACTGGTTCAGAGATGAGCATGGAACCAGTGTATTCCGGCCCAGAGGAGAGTGGAGCCATGAGACGGACAGAGGTGGAGCTCTAAGCACTTCATCTGAACACCTGGATCCAGCCATGCCTGCTCCCCAACCTGCAGGAGACACGGCCACCATAGGCTCCAGGCTGGCATCTTCCTAGCTTGGCTGCCACAGAAGGAAAGCATGACCTTCTCTCTTCTCGGGGGGGGATTCTGATTGGCCAGAGAAGGTCATGTACCCCCTGGGGGGAGGGACATGTCAGTAGTCTCCCTAGAAGGCCCTGGTTGTAACAGAAGAGACACAGCTCCCCAGAAGGTGGGAGAAGGTGCTGTGGGGGGCCAGGAGAAGGATGCTAGGTGGCCAAAACACTCGGTGCCCAGCTCCCTTGTAGCTTTATTATCTCCAGTTCACAGAAGTGAAAATTAAGGCTCAGAGAGGTATGTCACACGCCTAAGTCTGCACAGCCAACTGGGATTTGAACTCAGGTCCATCAGACTCTATGGTGGAAGCAAAATAACACCTGGGTTTGCTCCCTTTGCCCGACCCAACTCATCTTTTTTTTGTTTTAATGTTTATTTATTTTTGAGAGAGAGAGTGTGTGTGAACAAGGGAGGGGCAGAGAGAGAGAGGGAGACACGGAATCTGAAGCAGGCTCCAGGCTCTGAGCTGTCAGCACAGAGCTGGACATGGGGCTCAAACTCACGACCTGTGAGATCGTGACCTGAGCCGAAGTCGGACGCTCAACTGACTGAGCCCCTCAGGTGCCCCCCAGGGGCACATGTTGGTATCAGCAGGAACTTCCATGCAGGTGGGTCTTCTATGGGAAGCCGCCTTCAGACCCCAGCAGCATCCCAGTGCAAAAAGCAGCAAGTGGATGCCACCAAGTAGAATCCCAAACTCAGTCCCCGCCCCGTCACCCATGTCCCCTCTGCAATAACCTCACAATGGCCCCAAGTTCCTTAATGTTCCCTTTGAACTGTTTCAGCAAGGCCACAGGGAGCAATTCTCCAGCCCGTAACGCGGAAGCATTTACAGAGATTCTGTCTTTATTTGAGGCAGAGAAATCTCTCCGTCTTATTTTCTTGTAATCACAACAGGGGACATCTGCGATTTCAAGGAGCCCCGCATCTACAAAGGCCCCCCAAGTCTGAATAAAGCAAGCCAGGAAGACACTGGAGAATTGCTGCCCAACCCCCTGCTGTGACAGAAAATCCCCAGGGCACTGCGTGGTCCCGTGGGGCATCTGAATTCCGCTAGGGTTTGACTTCGCAGCAGAGAGGCAAGCTGGCACTTCAGGAAGATCAAATTGTTCCCCTCTGGCGTCTACCCCTGTTCCGGGCTCCCACTCTAAGTGTGCCAGGCGGGTGGCTTCAAATCCAGAAAAGCAGAGGGGCGCCTGGATGGCTTAGTCAGTTAAGGGTCCGACTTTCGCTTAGGTCATGATCTCACGGTTGGTGGGTTCAAGCCCCGCGTCGGGCTCTGTGCTGACTGCCAGCTGGGAGCCTGGAGCCTATTTCAGAGTCTGTGTCTCCCTCTCTCTCTGACCCTCCCCTGCTCACACTGTCTCTCTCTCTCTCCTAGAAATAAAAAAACATAAAAATTAAAAAAAAAATCCAGAGGGGCGCCTGGGTGGCTTAGTCGGTTAAGGGTCCGACTTTCGCTTGGGTCATGATCTCACGGTTTGTGGGTTCGAGCCCCGCGTCGGGCTCTGTGCTGACTGCCAGCTCAGAGCCTGGAGCCTGTTTCAGTCTGTGACTCCCTCTCTCTCTGACCCTCCCCTGCTCACGCTGTCTCTCTCTCTCCTAGAAATAAATAAAACATTAAAAAAAAAAAAATCCAGAAAAGCAGAGACCGGTGAGCCTTTTCCTGACTCAGCAAAATCAGACTCTAACTGCTGAGTCAGCCTGGCCGTTGCTTCTGTGACAGCCCCACGGCACCTAACTGCTGTGTTCCTCTGTCACACCCCCGGGGGCAGGGAGCTCACGCTTTCCCCGTGCTGTCCTCCAGGTTCCAAAGACTCACCTGAGAACCTGACCTAGGTAGATGCTGGGGGCTCAGGGCCGCTGAAGTCTCAGCCAGGAAATCATCCTCAGAGGCCCTGAGGAGCAGAGGGTCCCAGGGATAGAGGGGGCTGGGCCTGGATCTGGAATAATGGGACACTGTTACCCCCAGTTCACAGGAATGGAAACTAGGGCTCAGAGAGGTCCAGCCACGTGCCCAAGGCCACACAGCCAGGAAGTGGCAGAGCTGGGATCCGAAATCCTCACTTCCCCCAAACACAGGGCAGAGATGTGGGACATGATTATAGTCCGCACAATGAGAAAGCCACGCCCACTTCGATTGTCCTTTATGCCCCTCCAAGAGAGGCTCGTTTGGTGCCCGTGTGTCTTTCACACCCTCTCAAACTTGCTACATCTTAACCAAGAGAGCAGGATTCAGGCTCAAAGCCTTTTTTAGGCAGCAAACAGTATTTGGGTAAAATAAAATCATATTTATTTTTGTCATTATCATGTTTTTGCAAATGATATTGGCTTCCCATAGTTAGAAGTTTAAAAAGTGAGTTGATTTATTTTGTTATTTTCTTAAATGTCTATTTTTATTTTTGAGGGAGAGAGACAGAGACAGAGTGCAAGTAGGGGAGGGGCAGAGAGAGAAGGAGACAGAGAATCCGAAGCAGGCTGCAGGCTCAGAGCTGTCAGTACAGAGCCCTACGCAGGGCTCCAAGTCATGAACTGCGAGATCATGACCTGAGCTGAAGTTGGACACTCAAACAACTGAGCCACCCAGGCGCCCCTAAAGTGAGTTGGTTTAAAGAAAACTAGTAAAGATACAAGCATGCAGGTGGTGCACAGATATGGTCAAAATCATAAAGGTGGGCTGCAGGTAACCTGAGTTGGAAATGGCTGTTAGAAAACGTGGGAGAAGATTCACTGGTCGATGGGTCTGATGTCTCTCAGACTTCAGCGTAGCTGGAAAGGAAGTATAGCTGGAAAGGAAGGCCATCAGAAGGGCTTCCCCGTCTTGACTGTACCTCCCTCCTCCCTGGGGACCTGGGGCCTGGGAGGGGATGTGGGGAGATGCAGGAAGGAAGGAGAAACCAGATGCAGGAAGGGCTGCTGGGCACTCCGAAATGGGATGGTTAGGGCCTCCCAAACCCTTTGCGTGAGAAGTGCACACGGCCCCACACGCCCAAGGAGGAAAGCTCTAGGTACAAAGCAGTGCGGCATGGGGACGAGATACCATCCAAATGTTCTTGGCTATGAGGAAAGGAGGCAGAGGAGGGGAGGGAGGGGAGGATGGGGAGGAGAGAGAGAGAAGGGAAAGAAGGGGGGTGGGGAAGGAGGAGGCAAAGGATGACAGAGTCCAGACACACCATGTTCCATAAACACAGAAAC